GGGAGCTCCACCATCCTCTCCTGGGAGTAGGTCAAATGACGAGATACTTAGCCAAAAAATAAAAAAAAAATTAGTACGTGACCAGAACCGGTTACATCATATATGAATATTAAATAACTATTATTAATTAATATGAATATTAACTAATTATTATTAACATCGTTATTAATTATCAGTATTTAATTAAACCTGGTTTGGTTCAAAAACAAATGGAATTAATTAATGTTAATTATTATTAACATCGTTATTAATTATCAGTATTTAATTAAACCTGGTTTGGTTCAAAAACAAAYGGAATTAATTAATGTTAATTATTATTAACATCGTTATTAATTATCAATAATTAAATATAAGTACTTGTTATAAATTATCAGTATTTAATTAAATCGGATTTGGTTTAAATTATCAGAAAACACTAAAACCACGGCCTGTTGGAAATTGGACCGACTTAAATATGGTTAAACCGAACCGAGTCGCTAATAAGTAGCATTCTCACAAAAAAAAAGACTTCAAATCGGGGCAGACCCGACCCGACGACCCATACATTGTCACCTTCTTAACCCGACTTCAATATGCGAATGTTGGGTTGTGATCACAGCCAAAACTCGACCACCGGCGGCTTCATAAACACCATCATATGAGCTTCCCGGTTACCGGCGCCAAACGTAAATGATTGCCGATGGTTGGTGATCTCATCAGATATATATGAAGAACCGGTGGTCGCCTGCATTAAAAAAAAGCATCCCCTGTCTGGTTGAAACTCGACCATCGGCGGCTTGATAAACACCATCGTATGAGCCTCCCGGTCACTGGCCGCCAAACGTAAATGATCGTCGGTGATCGGTGATCTCATTAGATATATGAAGAGCCGGTGGTCGCCTGTATTAAAAAAAAAACATCCCGTCTGGCTGAAAGTCGACCACCGGTGGCTTGATAAACACCATCTTATGAGTCTCCCGGTCACCAGCGGCCAAACGTAAAATCGCCGGTGGTCGGTGATCTCATCAGATATATATGAAGAGCCGGTGGTCGTCTGTATTAAAAACAAAAATCCCCTGTCTGGCTGAAACTCGACCACCAGCGGCTTGATAAACACCACCGTATGAGCCTCCCGGTCACCGGCGTCCAAACGTAATTGATCTCCGGTTGTCGGTGATCTCATTAGATATTAATGAAGAGCCGGTGGTCGCCTGTATTTAAAAAAAAAAAAATCCATTGTCTAGCTAAAACTCGACCACCGACGGCTTCATCCACATGGATGGTAGGATGGTCCCGGCCACCGTCAACTACACATAAATGATCGTTGGTGGTCGGCGATCTCATCCAAGCTCAAAAAAGAGCCGGTCATCGGAAATTCGACAATGATACCTTCATCAACAGCGACTGTATAACAATCCCGACCACTGTGGGTAACCCAAAAATGGTTTTGCATTCTAAATACCTACACATTAATCTATGTTGAACTTCTAATACAACAGAAGAAGATACATGAACTACTATAGAGAAGTGAAACGGAAAACTGATTAAACACGAATGAATCAAAGCATGTATTACGAACAATAAATTATAAACTGTAAAATCAAACTACAAACTGTAAAATCTTTTTTTTTTTTTGGTAAAAAACTATAAACTGTAAAATCAAAGCATGTATTACAAACTTGAATAGTAAACTATAAACTGTAAAATCAAAGCATGTATTAAGAAAGCAACTAACTTGATCAAGGATGTTTCTCAGTGCGGAGGTCTGGTTCTTGTAGAGGCTCTGGTTTTCTCAGTCTCTCAGTTGTAAACTGATTTGCATTTTCCGCTTGTTTTAGGATTGGATTGAGAAGAATTACAATATCACGTGGAGCTACTAGTAGACTAGGGGTGGACTGAATACTACCTGTGGATTTATGCCAAATTCATGTGGTTTAGGGGGGGGGGGACTAGGAGGGGGCTTCAAATTAGGCTTTGTTAGTGGGCTTTTTTAGTTTGCAAGTTAAAGGTCTCTTGAAAGGACAGGTATCTGAATGTAGGAGGGCTACATGCTTTGGATCATCTATTGCTGATTGAATTTAACTGTACTATAACCGAATCAGTTAAACTAGTGTATTTACCTTTTCTCCCAATATTATGTTGTAGTTTCCTTTGACAAATGAGCTTTGCTATATTTAATTTTAATATGTGACCATTTAAAAACAACATTCAATTTCTCCCACTGGTGAAGAGTATGGGTTCACTTTTCCTCTTTGGTGATATTTTAGTATGTCTCAGGCTCTTAGCATGCAGATCCATAAGGCTCAGTTTGGAAAGAGTACAAATGCAAATATGTACAGCCTAAATACATACAAAATAATACAAAATATAAGGTTTTACACTACATATTTGCATTTCTACTCCTTCCAAATTCAGCCTAAAGGAACTGAAAACATTTTAAACATTTGTGTTCATTTTGTTTCTACTTTAACATCTATAACCTGTTTTCTTTATTTCTAGTATTGGAGGCAAACCCATGGAGAGAAACTTCAAAGTCCGTATATGTGCTGACCCATAGGGAAAACCAGTTATGCACGGTGAAAACAAGAAGAAGCCGCAGGTCTCATTTGGTTTTGTGAGTTATGTTTACCTGAACAAATCTTATCTTATTAATTCACAACTGATGTTTTCATTTTCTACAATGAAGTTGAAAGAGAGCTTGGGCTCTTGTTTTCCATAGGAGGAAAATGGAGATATGAAATATGAAATAAGACTAAACAATCAAGAACTGGGACAAGGTTTCAGATGCTTGTGGAGGATATAAGGGAGGGAGTGCTTGTAAGTGATTTTATTTTCACTTTTACTTTTTGAGATATATTAACAAATTGACATCTGATTGATGAGCAAAATTTGTGTTGAAGAATGGTATTAACTGTCTTTTCTCTGTCTATTTCTTATCAAATGGGGATCCATAAGGCTCTTCCAGTCAATGAATGGCATCTAAGGGAATATGTCAGCTAAACATGTAAAAATTAAAATGTTGTTCCAATCTGATGATTGTTTTTATGAAACCCTGTGACCAGTGGCTCTTGTCTCCATGCATTCCAAAGAGGATGCTGAGCATATGTTACTCTAGATGGAGTAGCTTTATGCCTTTACCTTAGGGAAATAAAGCTCAGGTTCAAGAACCTTCAAATTCAGATATGAATTCCAAAAGCCAAATTCATCCTTTTTTTTATGAGTCAATAAATCATCCCGCTTTCATTCCTAAACCTTCCTCGGTTCTCTAGTTTCTAAATGATCACCTACTGTATCAGGAAAGTACAATTAAAATAATACTTTAGTAGCAGGAAACCTTCTGTATTCAGATACCAATCATGTATCAAAATCACGAGTCTGAAATTCCTGTACTTGTTGCATTAATGAATCACAATGTGATAGGCATTCCATTATATGTGTGAAAAGCCAATACATATGAGAGTAACTGAGGTTTACACCAAGTCCTAGATACCTGCCACTCAGCGATTGGTTAGTGCAGGAAATCCAGACTCAAATCATTCTGCTTCCATTCCTAATCTTCCTCTGGTTTCTAAATAACCAACTTATATATCCGAAATTCAGGATTCAACATGAATCAGTCAATGATGTCCTCCTTTGTAAAACACATAACATGACATTAAGGCTGGAACTCAGTGCTTCTTATTATTCTTAATGGGCCCTGGGCCGTGCAGGTGCAGCACTACAAAGAACATACTGTTTCTGAAACCATAAACGTGTTTTCATTTCCAAAGCCTGACAGAGGTACTATACTACTACTTAGATTTAGATTTAGGTGTGTTTGCATGCAATATAATTTACATTCAACAGTTTCACTTTGTTCAAAGTATAATTGAAAAAGATGAACTACTATGTCTATCTATCTATTCTCCGGATTAGTGCGTGTCATCTAATGGGTTTCATCAGTTTTTCACTGCAAAGAAAAGAACTGAGTTCGTTTAACACCCCCTTCGGCCCTTCCTCAGTTGAAGACAAGACATGGGAAAGACCAATATATTTACCGAGCAAAATGATCAAAGTGACTAGGAATCTTCCAGGTGGCAGATTAGCTGGGAGCTCAGAAATGCTATACATGATATTCCTGATGCAAGTTTCCATCACTTGAGCATTCCCAAACTTTTAACAGTTTGTTTTTTTAGCTGGGGAAAGATTCCAATACAAGGTTGGACATGTTGGGCTTGTAGAGCTCATGATGGGCACAAGGCGATGAAGACATGACTAGCTTGGGGGTTGGGTTGATGGGTTTGATGGTGGATCAATAGTTCAGATTGGGCTGAGATGGTTCTGGTCTAAGGGCATACAAGTAGATTGGGATTTGAGAGCTATCAATCTCATTAACGCCTTTACAGCAGATCCTTTAAAATTGTCAGAGACTTTGGTTGGATGTGGTTGTCGGAGACCCCAGATCAACAGTAACAGGCAAACGCTAGCCCAAGTTGGAGATGATGGTTTTTATATTGCTTTTGTTGTGATTACTGTTGACTAGGTGAGGTGAGGTCTACTCGTCTGGCCTTTTTGCCTATTAAGGCTGCAAGAGAACGAGTACCTTGCGATCTAACCCCCCTTTTTCTTTTCTTTTTCCGGGAAACCGAAATCTGGAAATGCAAATGGCCATTGGCCCCCCCCTCTCTCTCTCATCAGAAGGTTGTACAATACTAAAATGTACGTGGTGTTTAGTTTCCAAGTTCCAACCGTCTCCCATTAGAGAAGCCCCAAAGCCAAAAGTTCTTCCATCAAAACTCAAAAGCAATTGACGTACAACAATCACGCGTAAAGAGCAATAAGCGAATCCCATTAATTTAATGTCAATAATCTAATATAATCCTGATTCTAAACTTCTAAACAGTAGTCAGTTTGTTGAACTTTACTAATGAAGAAGATAAAGATGTACTCTCTGCTTTTACTTTTTACCTCCTTCATTCGTTAAAACAAACTCACTCCCGTAAATTGAAATATTGAATTTTGAATGGATAAACACACACTCTCTGCATGTTTATTGGGTTGGGGACCTGGGGCTTCTATAAATGGAGAGATCCGCTCAGCCTCAGCAGTGAAATACGGAGTGGTGCAGCAGCCCAACAATGGAGTATTTTGGAAGAGTTGTTCTTGCAGGGCTTCTGCTATTATTTCGCGTTGGGAATGTAAGAGGAGCAGAGGTGGTGAATGGGTTAGCACCTTGTAACTTTCCAGCAATTTACAACTTTGGCGATTCCAACTCAGATACTGGTGGTATATCCGCGGCATTTCAAAGGACTCCACCTCCAAACGGCCAAAGTTTCTTCGGTAAACCTTCCGGGAGGGTTTGTGATGGACGTCTTATTATTGATTTCATAGGTAAAATAAAATAAAATAAAAGTAAAACACAACAATACATTAAATATTACTCCTCTGAAATCTGAATACAGTTATTGTGATCATGCTGATTTTTGGTATTGTCAATTATATAAATTATGATCGCTTAAGTCAATTTGTGCATATTTGGATTTTGGAATAAACAATTGATGATTTGTGTTTATGTTTACAAAATTTATGAATTAATGAAATGAAATGATAGCTGAGAACCTGGGGTTACCCTACTTGAGCGCGTATCTGGATTCCATCGGAACAAACTTCCGGCACGGAGCGAACTTCGCGACTGGGGGATCCACCATCCGACGGCAGAACGAAACCATATTCGAGGCCGGTATAAGCCCTTTCTCCCTTGATGTTCAGCTCTGGCATTTCGACCAGTTCCAAGAACGCACCAGCGAAGGTCACCTCCTTATCTCCCATCTAAATACTCTTTCTTTTCTCCTATCTCTATCTAGTTAATGTGTTAGCAGTTTAGTTGACGCCATGAGAATGGGTTTTCAGCAAGAAACACATCGGAGGACAGCGGTAAGCTTCCGAAGCCGGAGGAGTTCTCAAAGGCTCTTTACATCTTGGATATTGGACAAAACGATCTGTCCGTGGGTTTCCGGAAGATGACCGATTCACAAATTCGAGCTTCAATTCCTGACATACTTGATCATTTCTCTGCAGCGGTTCAAGTAAGTTGTAATTGTAGCCGGCTCGGCTGTTGCATTAAGGTTTAAGATTTAAGACAGACAGATAGACGGCGTTCGACCAAACCAAACCAACCGGTTGGTTTAGAGAGTACCAAATCATGTCTAGTCGCCGGTTTGGGTCAACGATTTGACAATTCGGGTTTCAATATATTAACCCGAACTTATTTGAACGATTGTTTTTTCTGACATGACCATGACGGTTGTATATGATTTAGAAAACAAAAAACAAAACATTTCACATTGTTGAACACCCCCTTAGTTTTTTGTCCATTTTTATCCCATTAAAAAAAAGGATAAGGTTTGTATTTGGTGGGGGCAGAACTAGTCCTCCTCATTGAACAGTTTGTCTCTTCCTTCTTGTTACCCTGATAATAGTTGTCTACTTATCTTCACTTTTTATATATATATATATATATATATATATATATATATATATATTATTACCCTTAGTTAAAAAAAAAAGACTTTAAAAAATAAAATGGTGTGTTACAGCAACTATACGAACGAGGAGCAAGGTCATTTTGGATACATAACACCGGTCCAATCGGTTGCTTGCCCATTTATCGAATATACTCTCCTCCACCGGATCCGGGATTGGTTGACCCATACGGATGCATCAAGTCCCACAATGACATAGCCATGGAGTTTAACAGGCTACTGAAGGATAAAGTGATGAAACTAAGATCAGAGCTCTCCCATGCTGCATTGACATATGTTGATGTCTATGCTGCAAAATATGGACTTATCAGCCGTAGCAATAGCCAAGGTATGTATGTATAATTAAATTTAATTGGGTATATACATATATATGATTTATATTCCAATATAATGATGTGTGTATGTATAATATAGGGTTCGTTGATCCTCAAAAGATATGCTGTGGGCACCATGAGAGTTATCATGTGTGGTGTGGGCAGAATGCGATGATCAATGGTTCGGAAGTCTACGGTGCTCCATGTGGAGATCCATCCATCTACATTAGCTGGGACAGCATCCATTACACCGAAGCTGCAAACCATTGGGTTGCCAACCACATTCTTGATGGTTCACTGTCTGACCCGCCCCTTCCCATTACTCAAGCATGTCACAAGCAGGTTCACCAGCTGTAATAGACAACGTGCTTAATTAAGATTAATTAGTTTGTTTATTATTAATAAATATGAGCTTGCACAGTCTGGACTCTAGAGTTTGGACTTGGTTTCAAAACAGCAATGTCTAAGGTGCATACAAAAAAGTCGACTACTTTGGTGATCGAGGCCTTGATCATGGATCATTGCAGCTAGCAATTAGCTTTCTTTTACTCTGGAACAAAGTTTTCAAAAAAAAAAAAATTAAAGGATGCCATTAAATTGTCTCTTAACACGAGAGAAAGAAACAGAATGTAAACCAGTCATGATACATGGGATTGCAATTCAAGCATTTACGGTTGCCTATACAAGAAACATGGCATTCAAGAGTTTTCAAGCTACCTTCTTTTCTCTGGTTTGAACTTTGAAATAAAGGAGTTCTATAGCTGGGTTCTCCAGAACAGTTCGCTTTATTGGTGTACAGTTAACTCTCAATTGGACTGAAAATCGATTAATTGACTTTAGATTAAGGGTCCAAATCCTTGTTATCACCATTTCTCTATATTGTTGGTGAGTGTGTGGTGCTGGGTGGATTTTTTTTTGTTTTGATCTTTCTATCTGGGATGCATGGGCAATTTGTCACAAACTCACAATGAGTGGACAACAAGGGTTTATTTAATGATTCATTAAAAGTAGAGCAGTATCACCCAGATGGACTAACATAAGGCCAGAGATCTCCTGGCCGGTATCTTTGAGTATTAGTTGTGAATAATATTCAAGGAAATTTCGTAACAACTAAACTATATTTCAGCTTCAGGTACTCTAGTTTTCCTTCTCCTTTCTGTTTTTAGAATTAATAATGGTCTTTGTCTTTATATCAGATATCTCTTTACCCAAGTTTTACTCGGTTGATATATTTGTTCCCTGCTTCCACCTTTTTCTTCATACTCTCGGTGTGCCTTTCTGATAGCTAATTGAGTTTGCTTTGCATGCTTTAGAGTTTAGATATTTTAGGATCTCTTCCTATCAACACCCTTTATGACATGTTCCTAGTTGCCTCTGCTTTAAGACCTTGTCAGAGAATCCTCCTTAACAGTAGTAGATCCTGAAAATAACAAAGCTAAGGACTCCAGCGCACCAGGATCAACATTGTAGGAGTTCAAAAGCTCAAAGAGTCTGTAGTGACTCAAACTCTTTATCTTCTCAAGCTGTACATATCCTCCAAAAACTCAGGCTTTTAGATCCTTCCTAGACTGTATTTCATTGTTCTGTTGCAAAAAACCTAACTTGTTAATGTTATAGCTTATTATCTGACGACATCACTTGTTGCTGGTGAGGATGTAGCATATGAAAAGAAATAGTCAACCTCAGCCTTTAATTGCAAAGCTATTATGCAAACTGCACAGAAGAACTCCAATGATGCATCTTAATGCCATTTCACCCAATTAAGGTTAAATGCCACCTAGTTGTTTTTCCCTTTTTCTTCATATTATCAAAACTGTGGGTAGACTGATCATTGCCAGCTTAGTCATGTGAGTTACGTTACAGTAAATGGATCATTTCACACTCTCTTGCTTTTCTTCCTTACTGTAGAGAGAAGATATCCTTAAAAACTGCTTTGAGATAATGCAATCACATATCCTGTTTCACCATTCCACTTTATCTGGGACCATATATACTTCAGGTTCAGACTAAACCAAATGTGCTCAAGTTTTTGCTTCATCAGGTTATTTATTTTCGGCTCATCAGTTTTTTGAAGCCTTCTAGATCACTTCTACTCACATGGGTACATTCACGATTGTTGATTAATGCCATGTTGCCACATATGATAGGGCTTAGTTCCTATGAACTTGTTAGGTTGCGTTTGTTTGCGATACAGTGGCAAATATGTACTCTACATATATATTTTCTCTTTGGTTCCTGAAAGCAAAATGGTTCACAGTTATAACCCCATTTTGCTCTCTTCTTGTTTGTTTCAAAATTGATGCAAAAGGCTGTATGGTGGTCTCTCTCTCATTAGATTTGAAAAATTCTCGTTTGCTTGGCTTAGTCGTCCCATTGCTGTTTTCTACTGGTTGGATACATCATACATGTCATTTGCATGTCAATCTATAAGCACGTTTCTCTTTCATTCCCTCTTTCTTTTGTCAAACAGAGAGAACGGAAGAACCTCTGTACCTGCCAAAACATGGCACACCAAGGTGTTCACAATTTACAATCAACCATTGGTAGAACCCCACCAAATAACTCCACAAGTTCATAATAACCTATAAGATAATCCTAATTATCTAGTTTTTGTTTTTTTTTTCTTTTATTCTTAATATTTTTACACTAGGCGGTAGTGGAAGTAGGGCTGTCGACAGTCTCCAACAGTTTGAAATAAAATGAAACTTAAGGGCCTCAACTTTCACTTGTGACAATGAGCTAATTGTACCAAGGTTCAAGATACGGATACACTCCAATATGTTGAAAGGGGTATATTAATACTTTAGAGAAGATGAACAGTATTTTTCTCCGAATAGTTATTACAAGGGTAGTATGGGAATTAAAAAATATTGCAACCATGAATTTCAATGGAAGATAATGGAAGGGGGTCTTTGTCTCACGGTCATAGTATAAGGGGGTCTTTGTCGCAAAACAAAGTAAAGGGGGGTCTTTATAATTTGCCCTATTATTTTTTTATTTATAAATATATTTTTATAAATTTATTATATTATTTATTTATTTTTATAAAAAACATATATACATATAATGAAAACAATTAAAACATATTTATATTTTTGTTTTTTACTTTATTTAAATTAATATATTATATTTTTCTTTTCATAATTTATTAATTAAAAAAACACGTCTGATCGAATCAGATCGACAATTCAATTTACTGATAGGATTCGAATTCAAATCAAATCCTATTAGATCTGATTGGATCGAATTTGAATATATCCTGATTTAAATCCGATTAGATCCATTTGCATTTTTTTCACGTCATAAAACATCATAAGCCGCTGCATAAAAGCTCTCTCAAACGGGTACTGCATAAAAATAAATAAAAAGTATAAAGCGGCTTTGCAGCTATTTCTCCGGCCATTAGAGAGTGGACTGGAGCATGAGCGGCTGAGTCGAGGAGGACCAGGACCATAAAAATGAACAAGAGAATGAATTCACATCTGCCCCCGTACAATGCGCCCCCGAAAAAAAGGTTCGCCGACTCCACTGGGGATCGAACCCAGAATCTCTGGTTCCGTAGACCAGCGCCTTATCCATTGGGCCATGGAGTCATTGTTATTCAAATCAAGGATAAAATACTAATAACTGCTAATCTTTGGTCGACCCCTTTTTAAAAACATGTTATCCACCTTGTAAGTTGTAAGTTGTAACCCACACGATTTGTGGATAAGCGAAAAGATCTGACAAAGCGTAGAATAGAGGGTCAAGTGTAGAGAGGATGTGATTTCCATTTCCTATACTGGCTATACAGTTGTAGGGGGGCCGAAAAAAAGTTAATTATTGCCATACCGTTGGGACCCAGAAATTACCAATTACAAAACCTCCTTGTAACAGTATATCACTGAAAATTTTGCAATTCAGGAGTCAGAACTCATTTCCTCTGTATTCTTTTTTTTTTTTCTTTTAAACCATCTGAAAATTGAAAATTGGAAGATGTACTACGGCCTCTTACTTACCAACCCGTGAACAAAAGAAATACAGCAAACCCGTGAACTGTGGCTGCTTCTCTCTCTCTCTCCATCGCACTCCATCTCTGTTTATTCATTACTTCACTATTCCCCCTTTACTTACCAGCCCACCTCTCCTACTTTTCTGCTGCTCTCTTCCTCTTTCGGGCTACTTCTCCATCTCAGCATGGAGTCTCATTCTTTCAGCATCTTTGTTATTTTATTGATCTCAGCTATGTCGGCACCAAAGTTGATCTTTGGTTTGACCCCTTGTGAGTTTCCGGCAATCTTCAATTTCGGTGATTCGAATTCTGACACCGGCGGTTTATCTGCAGCGTTCGGACAAGCTAGCCCACCTGCTGGAGAGACATATTTCCACACCCCGGCCGGACGATATTCAGATGGACGTCTAGTGATTGATTTCATAGGTACTTGCCTATCTCTTATATGATCTTTTTCTTCGTTTTTTCTTGTACTGTTCGGCTGAACAATTCAGGTTGATAATGACGACGACAGAGTTAGGAGTTAGCACTCTAGACGGAAAAAGAAGGCTTCGTTTCGTTAGTACACATTGGGCTGGCGAACAGAATGATAATGCAGTAGCACTAGTATGATATAGGGAGAGAGCATAGTCAAACAACTGAACCACAGAGAGAGAGAGAGAGAGAGAGAGGTGGTTTATCCATTAATCGAATTTACAGAGAGGGTAGATCTAATGACACTAAATGACAGAAGCAGGAATCCTTACAAAAGGAGGGAGGACTTGTAGACATTTGCTTGTCGTCTTTTGGGGGTGAGAATCTTAAATTATGAGGAGAGAGTTTTTTTTTTAGGATTTATTTCAAATCCGAAGACTGTAAATGAGTTGTATGTAAGTTACGAACAAACACAAAAGAAGGTAAACAAATATGCGATTCTGCTTTCAAAAATCAAGATCAAATCTTTGGTTTAATATATAGAAAGGGGTTGACGTTAGTAGGCAGCCAAATCACAAATGGGGATTTAAATCTATCCGTCCTTTGTTACCTAAAAAATATATATTTGTCTCTGCCATGACTCGATAGCCTTTTGCGTAATCTGTTTCGAAGCAAAACACAGAACATGTTTTTATTTTTTTTAATTACTAATTGGAATCGGAATCCACCGACTACATGATTTTGCGGACTGGCAGAGGCGGTCTCTTTCTCGTCTCCTGTATTATTTTGTTTTTATTTTTGATGGGTGTTTTCGTGTATTATCAGATTTACAATTCCACCAACCAAGTTAATCAGCGTTTTTTGATAAATACTTTTAAAAAAAGTGTTTAAAAACCGTTGGTATGGTGATTTTTTTAATAAAAAAGCATTTATTTGACAATATTGTTCGGTTTAAAACGGACTTCTGTGAATATGGTTCAAAACATATAAATCATACCCAATTCATCGCAAAAACCGCCGTTGGAAGTGTTTCATTAAAAACAAATAATAATATAAGAAGAAAGCATAAAGAAAGATGAAGATAGAGTGGTGGGCATCGATATTCGATCCATGTTTTAATGGAAGAATAAGACAAAGATTGGAAATCGTACATCGTTGTAGGCTTGTAGCCTGCCGCCGGTGAAGTAGTGAAAAGTGAAAATATACGAAGGAGAAAGTGAGAATTTTAGATCTAATGGGGGCATAGAAAATTTAAACCGCACCAAATGTAGCCGTGCGAAAGTCCTTTTTGAAATGTCTTCTACCAGAATTTTCCCGCATTTCTCCTCATAAGTTGTTTTACATTTTTTAATTATGCCAATCCTGACAACAGTTTCTGCGCATGGAAAAAAAAATAGAAAATGTGCTCTACTGCTTGCGTATCATCGATTTGATCTGCCACGTGGCTATTGTTTGAAAGAGGAATATAAGATGAGTGTTCTCTTCCACACGTGTTGTAAAGAAATGAAGGCACGTGACATAGATATATGATGAATGTCTCTTCTTCTTTTGATTGCTTGTTGTTGTCGTTCAGCGGAGAGTGTTGGATTGCCGTACCTGAGCGCTTACCTGGACTCGGTGGGGTCTAACTTTACGCATGGAGCCAATTTCGCGACGGCCGGATCCACAATCAGGCCACAGAACACAACTCTCTCCCAGAGTGGCTTCAGTCCCTTCTCCTTGAATGTCCAATACTATCAATTCCACGATTTTCACCAGAGATCCCAAGTTGCTCGTACACGAGGTCCGTCTCCATTTATTCATCTCATTTCATTTGTTGAATGTTGATCTATCCTTTCTCATAATTTTGTATATATATATATATATATATATATATATAGGAGAAGTATTCCAGAAGTTGTTGCCCAAGGCGGAGGATTTCTCTCGTGCCCTCTACGCGTTGGACATTGGTCAGAACGATCTAACCGCCGGTTACTTCCTTAACATGTCCACCGATCAAGTTAGGGCATACATCCCTGATGTTCTGGGTCAGTTCAGTACCATCATCAAGGTGAGTGCCCTTCAATTCATTCACATGCCTCTGCCTCTGCTGTCATATATCCAGTAATTAATTTCTAATTTCTATTACACCTTACCACGCACACACGTGCAGTACATATATGATCAGGGAGGAAGATCATTCTGGATACACAACACGGGCCCAGTGGGATGCCTGCCTTACATATTGGACCGGTTGTTGGTCAGAGCGCCGGAAGTGGACAAAGCTGGCTGTGCCACTCCCTACAATGAGGTGGCTCAGTACTTCAACATCAAGTTAAAAGAGACAGTGGTTCAGCTCCGCAATCAACTCCCACTCGCCGCTATCACCTACGTCGACGTCTACTCCGTCAAGTACTCACTCATCAGCCAGGCCACCAAGCACGGTAACCTCCTGCATCAATTTGGATAGCGGACAATTTGGAATTTGGAAGTAATAGACTAATAATAGTGTGTTGGTTGGTGTGCAGGATTCAAGCACTCTTTGAGTGCTTGCTGTGGGCATGGTGGAAAGTATAATTATAACAGGAACGTGGGTTGCGGAGGAAAGGTTTCAATGCATGGCAAACAGATATTACTGGGGCGTTCATGCAACGATCCCTCCGTTTGGATTAATTGGGACGGAGTTCACTACACTGAGGCTGCCAACAAATGGGTCTTCCAACAAATTGTAGATGGTTCTTTCTCTGACCCGCCCATTCCATTAAAATTTGCTTGCCATAGGCGCTAGACCACATCAATAAATGTGGTCTCTCCCCATTAATTGATTCCTACTCTCTCCCTCTCTCTCTGTCCATCAACATTTATAATGGTTCCTTTTATTTTCCTTATTAATTGCATTCTGAACGGCCTTGGTATTTAAAATTCAAATTATAAGCATTATTTCTGGTTACACAGGGAATAAACATGTTTTTTTTTCCAAGAAGCTACACAACATGGTAATCCATCCTCTAAACCCATAAATCTGTATCCAAATGCAACCTAAGTGTAGGTGGGATTTTAAGACTCAGTTTGTAAGGAGTATATATACAAATATGTAAAAAGCAAAGTTTTTGTATTCATACTATACAAATTTATATTTATATTCTTTTTAAACTAACCTTAAAATTCAATTTGATAAAAATACAAATATAAATATATACAAAATAATACAATATATATGATTCTAAACTTTATATATTTGCATCTAAACTCTTTTCAAACTAAACCCAAGTCGCGTCGCAATTACAATCAACAGTAAACCTTACCAATCAGCCGGTTGGCACCTTACCTCATTTAAATAAAATAAGGTGTGTGCTGATCAACAGCCAAAATATCTATCAATCTATGATGCACCTTATTGTCATTTATCTTATCAACACCTAACCGGACTTAATTCAAAGGGGGGTTACTCAAAAAAAATCAAATGGAATGGGCGGTGGGCCTCACGTCTGGTCCAGTCGCCAGTGCGCAGCACTCCACTCGATAAGTCGACAGTGTCACTTTCGAAATTCATATGCACTCAGCCGACACAATGACTTTATCATAACTCATGTATTAATAATATCAAATAACCTCAAAGTGCTATCTAATATTATGTGTTAATCTTAAACAATTCAATATATCTAAAAATCTTGTTTGTCTTTTTGCATTTGTCAAGAAAATATCAAGTTCCTTCATTCTGATTTTTTTTTCCTTTTATCGTGTTTTTGTTATCGAATCAAGGTTTTGTTTTTTATATAGATTTCTTACCTCTCTTAATTATCTTTGTTTTACCTAAAAACACTTTTTGAGTACACTTGACAATTGGACGGACCTCAATGCGCATCCCTTGCTACCTTTATCCCGACTCCAGAGTCCATACTTTCATAGATGATGATGATACTCATCGTCAAGCAAAAGAATAAAATCCTTTAAGTTGTATTTGGCTTCAAGGAAAAAGTAGGAAAAATCAGAGAAGGATAGGAAAATTTTTACAAATTTTGTATAGTTTTCTTTACCTTTCTCTTCTTTTCCCTATCTTTAGCCTTAGGGTTAACCAAGCGCCTTTTTAAGTTTTAATAATTGACTATAATTGCACTTTTTTCTTTTTATTGTTATCATTGTCTCCCATTATTCAAGAGTGATTATATATGGTCACTTCCCATTTTATTTTCTTGTAAATAAGACACTTTAAGTGACTGAACCATAATTGAAATTGAAATTAAAATCAGAATAATTTATTCTTATACTCTGTTTGATTCACATAGGAATCAAAATGGGAATTAGAATAAATTGGAATGGGAGTTCATTCCTAAGGGAAGGGGAGGGAATAGTCATTCACTCAAATGGGGGAATGCTATTCCATCAAAAATGAAAATAAGATTTCAGTTCTTCCCAATCCAACAGTTAGAATTGAAATAACCCATTGCAATTCTGTTCCATACTCATATTACTGTAAACCAAATACACCCTTAAATGTTACCAATTAGAGTGTTTGTTTAACTATGCTCCATATAAGATTCCTTGGAATTTATAATTTAAAATGCCAGAGATTGATTTGGGCTCATCCCATTGTCTAAAATGGGGACACACCTAGGCCTTAGGTCTGATATTTGTTCGCAAGGTTTTATTTGAAAGAGTATAAATATAAATATATACAAAATAATATAAAATACAAGGTTTTACACTACAAATTCATATTTATACTCCTTCTAAACTGAGCCAAAAAAATGTGAGAAGCAATGTTTTAAAAACTGACCCGAAGGCTGAATCGTTTTGCCTCTGGGTCATGGGTCATCGGTTCTACCAACCAGGTTGAACGGTTTAGATAGTTCTACGTCATCATATATATGTATTAAGTATATATTTTTATATACATATGTATATGTGTGTATAAATATATGTTTTATCAATAAATAATGTATAAATATGTTTTAGATATGTTATATGTATTTTTATATTTAATTTATATTTTTTAACTCAGCTTTTAATTCTTTTTTATTTATAAAAATATTGAAAATTGCAATTTGAGGTCAAAAAGGGTTTTTTTTGGTGAAAATAGCAGGTCAAGGCGTCTACTGCACTTGGGACACATAGATCTCAAAAAGTTATCCAAAAAAAAAAATCACCTTAATTAGACATCGGAGTGCAAAGTTATGGCTTTTAAAAGTTTGCATACATTGAGTGTACAACTTACCATCCAGTGATTGGGTCAAACAAGTCAACGGTGAACTGGCCAGGTCGAACAATTCTTGATCAATTCTATAGTTTTGGCTCTCTGATGAGTCTTGACTGAACTGGACCTGGAATCTTGACCAGTTATATATGTAACTATCCCATTGGTTTCCGAGTTCTCTTTCTTCACCTTCTAATGTTCAAAATAGGCATCAGTGCCTCCTTCACAAGAGATAGAGTTGATGATTCCACCGGTAAAAATGGTGGTGATGGCACAACTGGATGGGATGTTGGTTGCTGCTTATCATTGCAAATGGCGGTCATCTTGGGATATAGGGAACATCTGTCGTACTTATACATGGGAGACGTTTTCAACACACAATGGGATGTGATTGTGAGGTTGGTACGGGTAACATATCCCAAATTCTTTCAAGAACTGGGAACATGACTGACTTTCTGGTCAAATGGTTGAACCGTCTTGATATACACGATTTTTAAACCATGTGTTGGACGGTACTGAACCATACGAATTTTGCATACTTATTTCTAATTGTTTTTTTTCTTATTGAGTTCCATTTAGAGACATGAGGTGTTTGATAATATTGAGAGGATGTCCAGTACGTGTTTGAAAAACTTTCAAAGATCACATCTCATTTATGTCAAGGTTAAAAGTATCTGCGATTACGCATGAACTTGCATATCAAGTGTTATGGTATCAGTCTTTGGCCTACCTACACCTCAAACTGGTCAAAACCCTTCATTTAAAGTATATGGGAGCGGAGCTTTGTTTATATAAAAAATATTAAAATTTTGATCCTTGATATTAACATTTTCAAACGTGTTTCAGTGATTCAGATGGTTTATACTTTATAATAAATTAAATAGGGGCACCATTGGTTCTTAATGCTCTATTTGGTTGCAATACAAATAAATTTATATTGATGCAAAATTATGACAGTGCAAAATAATTTTAATGTAAATTATGACCTATTTTTGTGTCAAATTTTAACTTATTTATTTGATTGCAATATAAATAAAGTAAATTAAGACATAAAGCAGAATAAAATAAAATTAAATAAGAATTTGCATTTTTTTTTCATTTGCACTCTCATGCATTGATACAAGTGCAAATAAAATTGCACTGCAAAGAAACACAGCTTAATAAAAATAAGTCAATGCCAATTGACCACAGGCCAATAGTGGCTTACCATCAACGTGCTCAGAGCAGGTCTCCATTGAATGAGAAATGCGGTATTTCTATAACATCATTTCAAGTTAATGAATACATGTGGCAATCTCTTCATGCGTAACCAGGGGTGTTTATGTAATTTCAATGACATCCCTAGCTCGTTCGAATGGAATAGTCACCTTCCTTCGACCCTAATTTGTTCACCACAGGGCGTAGAGCAGAGAGAGAGAGAGAGAGAGAGCGCTTCTCGTCGACTCCCCCTTCTCCAGTGACAAACTGACAATCACTTGGTATGACCGTCATTAATGCTTCTCTCCTTTTCCTTTTTTATTGTTGAATTTTGTATACCTATACATGTAATATATGTTGGTCGTCGGTGTCGGTTTTCTCCTACCGACATGATCTCTCTATCTTCATTTGTTTCTTTAGAACAAGAAAAGTATTCTCATTCATCTTTTTTTCCTTCCGATGCTAATGTTGTTAGACGTCTGTTGCTCTATTAATGGTCTAAACTTTTTGGGTGTTTGATTTATCAAACGCCTTAAATATTATCAGTAACAAGAAACAAAATTTTTGTTCTGGAACAGAAATTTTTTCAAGAACAAAAACAGGCAGAAACGAATCAACGATACAAACAGGGCCTAAGAATCCTACGAAATGTGATACTATATGTTAAGATACAAAATGGGTAAGGGTATAAGTCCGGCTGGGTTAGGTTGGGTTGAGGTTAACTCTAATCCAAACCAAGCTGTGGAGTGTGGAATCCCCAACCTTAACCTCTTAATTCAATCCAAAAGCTCTGAATTGTGTGGAAATGGGGTTGGACTTGCAATCAGTTTCGCTACAGCACCCGCAGCTCTAGCTAATTRTCCACCCTTTCCAAGTGTGATTTCTATGTTATGTATGGCCGTGCYTAAGGGCATCTCGGTTGAAGTAGATTCTTCTTTTTGATCAATCAAAACCCCTTCTCAATCTGTACAAGCTTCTTCCAAAGCATATGACTTTCTGGATGCATATGATGAGATCTAGACAGATGGATCTTATATGAATCGTATGATGAAGTATCGACGTAATTTCATAGAGTCATTTGGTCTGAATGCTACATGAAGAACATAAGCCAGATGACGAAATGGGAAGACCTAGGATGTAGAAGATCATAACATGARTGATTCGGCAGATTTGGATTCCTATATATCCACTCAGTTTTAGCATTATTATATATAAATTAAGATAGTTATCATGCTTTAGAAAACGTTTACCTTAAAATTGGTGACATTGTAATGCACATTTATATAGACAAATAAGTATATATACATGCGTGTCATATGCATACATATATAAAAATCGGATTCAAGTTGATTCAGATTGGTGAAAGGTTCAACCCTAACCTAACCTGAAATTAATCGGGCTAATCCAGAGCCAAAGTTGCAGCGCAAAAAACGGGGGCATATGAATACTGTTACCTTCAGGATTAAACATGAGATTAATCCAATGAATACAGTTACCTAGTTGATGATAAGGGTGTCAATGGATCAATTTTAGATTGGATCCCCGTTCAGTCTAAAATCAATTTACATGAATTGAATGGATCAATAAGACATATTGGATTGGATCAATCCGATCCAAAATATTTATCAGATTGGATTGGACCTGGTCTGTCCGTAACAAATTAATTTATATTGGATCGGGTTGGATTAAGCTAATATCTGATCCATTGATATAAGATAAGAATGTATGTATCAATGAATCGGATTTGGGCTGAAACCAATCTAATAAAAATAAATTTGAACAGATTAAACAGTCCAAACATTGAATTGGACCGATCCAAATTGATCCAACACATAAATTGAACTGAACTGAATCTGGTCCATTTATAATAGACTCACATTGGACTGAATCGGATAGGACCAAATCCAGTCCAATTGACACCCCTAAATTTGATGATCATCATTTGTGGCAGAATTTCTTTGAAAAGCTCGAGAGCTAATCCCATTAATCCCATAGCCGTACACATCATTTTGTCCTCGGTAGAAAAAGCATAGAAATCACAATATAACAATCATAAAAAGAGATCAATACATCAAAACCCAGAATAAAATGGAATAAGCAATGAATTAAACAGAGAAAAAGGAGAAGACAAGCTCCATGTGCATGGTTTGTGCACTGCACAGAAACACAAGCTTTTGCAACCATTGAAATCCCCTTAAATCACAAAAAAGAAAAAAATCTCTTCTTTCTTGTGTCCCATGCAATCGTATTAATATAATAATAAATAAATAGAGAAAGATACCATATCGAGGGAAAATAAAAAACCCAGAAGATATTATACTCACACATCCACGTTCAAACAGATGAAGAAGATAAGAAGAAGGATGGATGTATAGATGGGAGAATTATTGGGCACCGTATGCAGATGATATGTTCCACTCTGACCTGTCCAATCATGTCCACTAATTCATCCCCAGTTGTAACTAACTTCCAAGTTTCTGCCCAACCCCTCTCCTCCTCCCACGTGATGCCCATCTTAGCTTGCTGCTGTTCTCCCTCTCTGCAACTTTAGCTCACTCTTAAACTTGCACAATCCAATCTTAATCACCACCATCATCCACTGCTTTCTTTATGTAACTCTTTTCAGTTTTTCTTTTTGGGTGATCATGCCTGTACGATGACGGTATCGGTCATACAATCTGTGTTTTAGCTCATTCAATCTTCCAAGCATAGATAAACAAGCAAAACCCAGATGACCCACCAGAACTATCTCCCTCTGTTGACCCAGAAGTCGGCGTTTGCTGTGATGATAATGGAGTCGGTGCCAACGACGAAGACGGCGGTGACGATGAAGTCGATGTCGATGTGGATGATGATGTTATTGGCTTAAATATGAACAATGCATGCCTCAAACCAGGACTAAATAACCAGTCATGAACATCCCAATACACTTCTACTCTAACTTTATGAACGGAGATGGATTGATTACCTCTGAATTTCCAGTGAAGGTGTTTGACATGGATGGCTAGCTTCCCATCTACCTTTATCTCCATTTCTGGATCGAACCCACCAACACAACTGTTTGTATTAACACTGCTGCTGCTGCTGTTGTTAAACTCTATGGAGATCTCATGAAGCCTGCCTTTCTCATGAAATTTCACTCTTGAGGTGAGTTTCTTCTTGCCAAATATATGCTCCTTCTTTGATACCATGCTGGGCTCAATTAGTGCTGGTCGGCACCCTGTCTTTCTGTAGGCATCTTTTTTTAGATCACCGAGAAGCAATACAACCTCATCTTCGCAGGCAACGGCCACATAGTAATCGGACTGCGGCTCAGTCTCTCCATTGAACTTGGCGGCCTTCAGGTCCCAGAAGATGTCGACGGCTTTACCTTCCACCATAAATCGCTTGGAACCTTGCTTCCTCCAGAAGTACCATGGTTTGAGCTCAACTTTGCAACTGTACTGGTTTTCCCCGTTCGGTCCTTCGACGGAGACGCAGAGGCCGTGGAGTAACAGATTCTTACACCATGTTACTGTGATCATACGGCACTGGCCGGCAATCTTTGTTCTGTATACTGACAGGAAGACGTTCTGACCTGCTTTGGTCACGGCGGCCGGGTCATCGCTCTGCTTTTCGCCGGATAAAAAGCAAGCAGGAATTCCAATTGGATCTTGCATCATACCCAAATTTGTTAGAAAAGGAAAAAAAAGAGCCTATTGTATCGCAAACACCACCGAATTGAATCAGAGAAGAAAGGGGAAAACTGCAAAGCTAAGGCTGAACCGGACTAGATTTAATTGGATTGTAATCCTACCATGAGTGACTCAGAGAAAATGATCATCCAAAAGATCTATCCATAGAAGAGTCAGTGGCGGCATTTATCTTTGGTTAAAGAATAATAGATCCAATTTCCAAACTGGCAATTATAAGACAGAGTGACAGTGAGGGAAGAAGAAGCCTTTATAATATTATTCAATAATCCATAAACGGGTACTCATCTATAAACCTTTGTGCGCTGATGAATTTGGGTTTCTTTCCCCTTTTTTTTTTTCCTTTTTGCCTTCTTTTCTACCAAAACTACTTTTCGAATTCAAGGTGGGTTTTTGCTCCTGTTAACATTTTCATCCCTATTAAATATGCGTTCTCCATGCAAGGTAAAAAAGGAGAGAAGCCCCTTTTCACCAGATTCGGAGTTCAGATTTCTACGTACGCTGAGTCCTTGGAGGAGCATGTGAAGGATAAGTAAAAGAAAGACCAGTCAAATGAGAATATGCAGAAAAAAAAAAAATAATAAATGGTTGGATTTCCGATGTGTTTTTTTTTTCAAAATTATTTAATTTTGTACACTGGGTTGTGAGGTATCAAGTCTTTTACCCTTAACTTCAACTTAACGTAGGATGTTGCAGAAAAGTAAAGAGTAGGGAGGAATCTAGGGTGTGGCTGTTGCAGAAAAGTCTGAGGAATCTGCGGTTGCAGTTGCAGATCTGGTCGAACTCACAGTGCTCTTATATGCACTTAAGTTTAAGCAGAGTAGTTATTCTTAAAAAGATGGCAAATCAAATGCTAGTAGTGTGTGGAAAACGAGGGAAAATATATAAACAAGTGTAGCCTTGAATCCGCAGCTCAAAAAGACGAACAAAAACAACAACTACAAAAAAACGAATGCAAAAAAAGAAGGAAAAACAATGAGATTGGTTACTGATCATTTTGGTGATTATGATTGATTAACGACGCCAATTACGGCCCAAGTAAAATCTAAATGAGCTTGTCTATTTGGTGGCTATAACCTGGTTATTCATATTTCACAACCTCAGATTGATTATCCTGCAAATCAAATGGTAACCTTTTAATCAGGGATATTTCAACTTTCAATTGGAGAGGTGCAGTTTCAGTTGATTTGAGGTGGATAGACAGAGTTAGACTATTTCTCTCTCTCTCTCTCTCTGGTAATTAGACACTTTTTTTTTTGTATTGATTAGTTGCCTTTCGCTCCCATAGGGGCCTTAATTTAATTTTCATGGCATAGTACCACAAATTTTATCTAGCAACATTACACTCTTATCAAAGGGCGGGGCGAAACCGCATTGCATCTGGGACTTACCCTGTTACATGCTAACCGAGCCACCTATTTCTCTCTCTCTCTGGTAATTAGACACTTTTTTTTGGTATTGATTAGTCACCTTTCGCTCCCATAGGGGGGGCCTTAATTTAATTTTCATGACATAGTACCACAAACTTTATCTAGCAACATTACACTCTTCTCAAAGGTAGATTTAGAGCCGTTAGTAGCGGGGCGAAACCACATTGCGTCTGGGGCTTACCCTGTTGCATGCTAACCGAGCCACCTTTTTTTTTTTTTCTCTGTCTCTGTAATTAGACACTCTTTATTTGGTAATTAGACACTTTTTTTTGGTATTGATTAGTCGCCTTTCGCTCCCATAGGGGGCCTTAATTTAATTTTCATGGCATAGTACCACAAACCTTATCTAGCAACATTACACTCTTCTCAAAGGTGGATTTAGAGCCATTAGTAGCGGGGCAAAACCGCATTGCGTCTGGGGCTTACCCTGTTACATGCTAACCGAACCACCACTCGGTTGGTTGGTAATTAGACAGACTGAGACTTTATAGTATGTAGATGGTTCTTTTGAATCCCAATCTTTGCCAGTTTCTGAACAATGAATTTCTGCAAAGAAACAGATTGATGCAATTTGTTTGACAGCACTTGTAAGAGGAGAGCCGTTAGTATGTAGATGCTTCTTTTGAATCCCAATCTTTGCCAGTTTCTGAACAATGAATTTCTGCAAAGAAACAGATTAATGCAATTTGTTTGACAGCACTTGTAAGAGGAGAGCAGTGGTCCAGCAAAACATAAAATAGAATGATTACACTGGCGTCCACAGGAAAATAAATAAAGAAAGAAAGGAAGAAACAAAAGAGAGTAGAACCAAAACAACAGAAAAGAACAGAAGGAAAAGAAACAAAAATTCTGGTATTTAGCAAGCATTCGTTTATTAATGTATGTACAGGTAATGCTTTACCAAAAAAATGTACAGTACAATCAGAACTCGTTGCCCACCGTGTTGAATATTTGTACAGTAGAATCAGCAATTAAAGAAAACCACAACATGCACAGTGCTTATCGGCTCTTGAACTGGAATTGCTTTAGGTCAATAATCATCACAGTGATGTCATCCAAGCTTCCCCTACTCACAGCCAGATTAGCTAGCTCCTTACAAGCAGCAATGATCACACCAGTAGTTGATCTCTTCTCATAATGGCTACTATCTTGACTTGAAAGGTTAATCTTCCAGTTATGTTGTTTGATCAGTGAAAGCCTCTGCAATTTTAATGGAGAACTCTGGTTTTCACAACCAAAGTCATCTCTATCTTTCCAATCATCACTTTTCCTCTTATTCCCAATGTTTTCTTCGCTTGGGATCTGGATACTCATAACTTGTTGCTTGATCTGTGAAATCCTCCGCAGCTTTAGTGGAGGACTGATGTTTTCATAACCAAATTCATATCCATCTTCTTGCCAACAATCAACTGAAGATCCTTCACTTTTTGCAACAGAAAATATGCGCTTTGTCGTATCAACAACTTCCTGATTACCCACCTAAGCAAAGCAGTCAATTTAAAAGATTCAATGTCAAACAAACAAGTATTTTTCAGTCAATTAAACTAGTCTTAAATGTCTAACTATACTTGGCTGGGACCACATGATCTGAAACGAGTAATATGTTACAGAAAGATATTGACAGAAGAAAGGAGAGTAAAAAGACAAAAGAAAAGCTATGTATTCTATTATGTTGAAAAGGGACCATTGCTCCACATGGCTCAAGATTATAAAGTGAGATCACCCTCCTAGTCCTAGGCAAGGAATGGTTTTGGAAGAAGATTTGGGATCAAGTTCCAACAGAATCATATATTCAATTCATCTTAACTGATCATACCAAGTAAACCATTTAAACTTATCATGGAAATTATTACCAATTAAAAAAAAATTACCATGGAAATGCAAACAGTGGAGTAATAATGGAAAAGAAATTAGTACAGTAAATATTGTGCAAGGAGAGTGTAGATGTTACATGACTCTATTCACAATGAGTTCCACTTGTAATAAAATAATATGGTTTTGGGAGGAATCTGGATGTTATCAGAAAAAATATTGATCTGTATGAACCAATCATTACCTACAGTGGCACCTCCATAAGAATTTACATGAATTATTTCTCAATATACAGTTTCAGGACTGCATCATAACCTACTTGAACATGTGCTAAACAATAATCCAGCAACTTAAACTTGACCAGGTAATAGGAATGATTAAATAAAGAAATTGTTTTCTCCAGAACAATTAGTTCTATTTGAGCATCTAAACAACTATATTATTGTGAGATATTTCTAGGATAATTGAAGTCACCTGAAAAGGCACTAAAAGGATCACATAGATGGAATACTCAAAAAACTAGTCATAACCACAGCAATGTCTATAAGAACAGCTTGGTCAAAAATTTAGATGGCCTTGCCAGTGGCCAGTGGGTTTCAATTTTCCAATGAAAACTTGTAAAGAAAAATGAAAATTTAGAAAAAAAAAAGAAAAGAGATAAAAGAGCATTATGCAACTGAAAAGCAGTAAGAGCATTGTACCATGCCCTGACGGCTTAACTCTGTTAAATAGCTAGAAGACAGAAAAACTATTAAATCATGAAAGAAAAAGGCAAATGAAATGGATTTAAAAAGAAGACAGTAATCTTGAAATTAAACAACTAAAAGAGGCACACGAGGAAACTAAAAGAAGCACAGAAAAAAGAACTTGATACCAGACCAGAAAAGAACCGAGTTTCAAGGATGCATTTTATATTTTTTTCAGCGTTAAGTACGGACATTTTGCACAAGCATACCTCCAGAATATTGGTACGTTGTTATCTTTTCTTACTAACCTTTTCCCACAGTCCATCAGAGGCTAAAACAAGAAACTCCATATCAGGAGTCAAATGCAGAATTGTTGTATCAGGTTCTGCCATTACCCAATCCTTCAAATGAACATCCCCAATGCTCCTAGAAACAGAAAGTATCCCATGAACTCTCCAGGCTCCTCGGTGAATCTCCACATATCCTCCCTAGCAAAGTTTCAAAAGAATGCATAAAGTCATTTTCATATTCCTATATTGGTCTTTGGACTAACGAGTTCCAACTTCCAAGCAGTAATATCAACTACCTTCCTTTCTATTCTGTTCCTTTCCTCCTCTAGACTGGCTGTATGGTCTTTTGTAAGGACTTCAGCTGAACCACCTCTACAAAGAACTGCTCTGCAGTCTCCCAGATTTGAAACAGCAATATCTTTCCCATCAATCAAGGCAGTTACACAGCAGGAACCACTGCTTAAACCCTGTTACCATTTGCCAAGATCAGATTCACATTTTCATAGAATAGAAACAAGCTAAAAAATGAAAAAAAAAATCGGATATAGAAGGATCTCAGGTAAGATATTTACATTCTTTCTCTATTTTGTTTTCAATTCATTAAGCTTGAAAAAGAATAGATATATTCACTATCCCTGGAAGGCAATTATAAGACCGAGTTTGAATGATTTTCAAAATTGAAATTTACATAAGTTCGTCATCCTGAACTAAGAGGCCAAGACTTTACCAGGTATTGGTTGTTAGGACTATACCAACCTGTGCTAACACCGTTAATAAATTAGATGATGCTTAATGTCACAACCATAAATATATTGTCTTTCAATATAATTAAGGTTAATAAGACCGTTAATTTAGAATCATTTATGAAACATTGACAATAACTGATGAGTTTCCACTCTAGATTATAGAACAGAGTTTAAAATTCAACTTAAAAATCTAGCAGGTGCTTCACTCACATAATCCATAATCTACTTAGGCCATACATGTCAATGAAAATACAACAGAAGAATGGTCATCCAACAAAAATCATTTTGAGTACTTAGGGATATCTCTCAAGTACCACTGTAGAATGTATTTACGGACCATCTCCATCAACAGCAGTTCAATGATAAAAAGACTGGATCCGACCAATTTTGTGGCCAACCATTGGAAAGGATGATACACCCACAATATGTTCCTAGCAAAGTAGCAGTCCATATCACTTCCTGTGAAATTTTGCCAGCTTTTGGTCCACAGTCCAAAGCAGGCAATTGACTTCCAATTTGTTCCTTATCTTTTAGCAACCCAAAAGTTAGATCACTAATTCAGTTTCCCAGAGTCCTAGACCAACAAGTCATCTATTTGAGTTAATAAAAGGAGATTATTGCAACCAATTTACCCAGTTTATTGCTAAGCTCTGCTTTTCACAGGCATTCATAAAATTTCCTTCGCAAAAGATGCCCTGAAAGCATATACAACAGTATAATGTTTGGTTGGAAAAACAAGACTAAGAATAATGCTTGTTCAATACCAGGACTCAAGTCCTGGTTTCAGTGCAAGTCCCCAACAAGTGTGTTAGCATATCTAGCTGCAGGGTGTAATACCAGATTTTAGCAAAACCATATATGGCAGCAGTTTTTATAGACCAGAAACAACAAATAAGATGCAAAAAGGTTGAGATCATGGTGCATCTTGGGTAACCGAATTTAAGAACTTCAACTAAACCGGGCTTGGGTTAGGGTCCGGGCCCATTCAAGAGGCATGTGGTTCATTTCACAAGGCATGTTCTGATTTCTTCCATTTTCTTCATCTTTTCGTGAAGGGGCATACTTACATTTCAACAGTATAAATTCAGGAAATGAAGTTATCAAAATTACAATTACTTGTTTCACAAAGTCCTGGTCCGTCTTCAGATACCCAGCTTTGATGGCGTCCTCCTTCCCCGTGTCTTCCCTGTGTTTCTCGAGCATTTCGAGTATATTAATATGCAAATTCTCCGCAACAAAGTCTGCTGCTTTTCTTCCTCCATGTCCATCATAGACGCCATAGAAACCCTGCATCGCAACAAACAAAATCTTACCATGTTCCTGGAAACACACGTGTAATTTCCACAAGCAACAAGAGTAATACAATATTGGTTATAAAAATCTGGATCAGAAGGTAACAATCTGATGAAGAAGAGCTATACCCTGTTCCGCAGAATTGTCAAAACCAAATTCAAATTCTTGCACCTCTTAAAGACAGATAAACAAAATTCGGAAAACACGAATAGGAGAAAATAAGAGAAAAGCAGATAAAGCAGATCTCTTGTGTGATTTTGTTTTCTTTTCAAAGAAAGTGTAATCGGTATACCTTATTGGAATCCCCGCATAAGCGCGAAACGATCTTGTAAGTATCCTCCATGACTTTTTTCTTCCCTTTGATTGAAAAAACCCCAACTTCTGCCCCGTCGAAACTGTTTGTTTCGTGTTCAACAACCTTGTCCCTGAAATTGAGTTTATCGGGATGAATTTCCCGTAAGACCCGTGAGATGTCGATCCTGGGTGGTCTTTTCCTCTTCAAAGAACAACACGAAGATGTAGTTGAATTAGTAGAGTTGGAGAATGAAGACGAAGAACTGAAGTGCTCGACGTTATTCATACTGGTATCTTGCGAATGTGATAAACTGCTGTGTTTTGGTTCAGTAAGTTGAGCAATAAATACATTGTCTGGTGGCTTCTGGATCTGGTCTCTATCTACTGTATCTGTAATGCTTGCCATTGCGTGTGTGAACTGTGAACGAGAGAGAGAGAGAGAGAGAGAGAGAGAGAGAGAGAAGGGAGGAGGGGGTTCCAACTTCCAACGGCTATAAAGTAGAAATAAGGGGAGAAAGTCGGGCAGTAAATGGGGAAGTTGAGAGGTCCAAGTTGAAAACAAATTTTCGAGGTGGAGACCCTTCAGTTTCAGGCGGGCCTTGACTCTTTTGAGAGAGGGAGAGAAAATCAGAAACGTAGACTGTAAGTGTAGTGAGGGATTCAACGGAATTGTTACCACGCCGAGCCGTTAGGGTTTAGTCAAAAAAGTTTGAAGAAGTGGTGAGGGAGGGACCGAACCACGGAACCAATCAATGCAAGTGGGGGGGTACAACTTGGGCGGGCTAAAAGTTTGAATATGTCCGCCTCCATCCGAGACCGGATCTGCTCCTCACATAAGGCGCCTCACACGCGCCTCATAATTACATCCTACAATGCATTGAAAACATTTCCCGTACTCTTAAAGTTATTATTCACGGGAAATATTCCCGATGCACGGTGAATATGCATGTGAGGCGCTCGAGTGCGATGAGCAGATCCCGTCTCCCTCCATCCACCCCAAGCCCGAGTCCGAAGCAGTATAAAGTTATAAACTGATAACTCGGAGTTGTCACGGTTGGACCGGTTGGTAGCGCAGAGATTATATTCAGGAGCCACCAAGGTGGAGAGCCCTTGCAACAAGAACCATGAACACATATATTGACTTTGAACCATCTTATTGATGCATTTGTTTTATTTTTCTTAACTTGTAACACAGGTCATCCAAATATCAAAAGTATAAACACTCCAGCATATCATTACTCCACAACCACAACCACAACCGAAAAAAATCTGTACATGGTGTCCACGTGGTAAGTCGTTGAACCATTTATTTTTTGTGAGAGGGAATGTAATATTAGAGACCCACCATAAAAGAACGTTTAACGTTATACGAGTCGGCCGTCCACTTAACCCATACCACCAGCATTTCTCGTCGGAAAGAGAAGACGAGAGGTGGGAGAAAAGTTCAGTCAATTCGGGTGCCGTCACCGTACGGCTGTTGCCAATTTGCCATTACTGTAGAGTGTAGACTTGAAAATTATGGGCCTTGGCGCCATGCGGATATTGAGAACTCTCAAACATGATTCATGAATTAAAGTCAGGTGGGCTTAAAGTGGTAGAATTAAAGCAACTCGCATTCGCATTCTGGTAGAATTACACTTATAAAGCCCATTTGGGAGGATTTGGGCGTTATTTGGGTTGTATTGACCGAGGCGGCGTTTGGTAATGTGGTTTTGGCATGTTTCATCCCGTTCTGGAATTAGCTACATTACATCAAAACTCAAAAGTGTGTTTCATATTAGAACGAGCCGTGGTCTCTTATTCCCTATTTCTGATTTCTCACCATGGCGCATCCCAGAATACACCATATACAACCTCCTATAGAATGCGTGATGCATTCCAGAACCAATGTTACATGGTTGATTTTGTCAATAGTTATATACATGTTTTAAAGATTAAGTGATACATGTGTAGTAAATGTGAACTATTTCAAACTGTGAATTTGGAAATGACTCATTTAATTAGTTATAGTTTGTTTTATGATATCTACTATTTAGATAACCATATTAATTCTAGAGTTAATATATACTTGCATTAAACCTTGACTTCTAGAAGGGATGCATTCATTAGATAAAAGGTCAATGTGGATTTTGTCCATTGTTATGATGGTTCATGATAATTTTATAGACTGCATGGCCTTTGGTGTGATGATGCATCATTCAAATTATAGAGTTATATGCACTAAACCTTGACTTCTGGAAGGATGCATTTATTAGATAAAAGGTTGATCTGGGATTTGTCTGTTCTATGGATGATTCATTATAACTTGATGGGCTGCACGGCCTTTGTATCGATGATGCATCATTCAAATTTTCTGCCCTATCAACTTTTGGTAGTTGATAGTGGCCTATTAAGGTGGTAATTGGGTCATAGAGAATTAGGCTTCGATTCCAAAGAAGAAAACTTGAAAAGTGACTCTCACATTCTAAAAGGTAGCACTACACAAATTACCCATTATGTATCTTAACATAGGGAGGTAATGAAAATAAATAACAAGACTATAAATATCATAAAAATATAATAATTGAAATAAAAACAATCTAAATCCATTGGAATACACCATGCTAATATAGTGTATTCTGAGATGAGCCTCACTTTTTTCTTTACCAGAAAAAAAAGAAAAACAGAACAAAGCCCTGAACTACTTTCAATAAGCTATCAAAACTAATTTCAGCGAAAAGTCAATTTCTTATTTCAACGCAAGTCTTTTTGGGCATTGTGGGTTTTTCATCAAACAGTCAAACATAGCTTCACAACTTTCCAGTGTAATAATGTCAAAAGCCGCTTCGTGAAAAGCGCTTCATGGACATATTTGCATTATCATTGTGGTTTCGGAAGAATCGGAACTAAAGGAGTTTAATTGTAACTTACAACAAGACTTTAGAACGAAGGGAGTTCTCATCACTAATCAGTACCACCTCCTGCACTCACATTAGACTAATATTTTCAGAACCAAAGACAACATTGATCAAACGTAAAGAAAAAGGTTTGTTCTTGGGATTTCTTGCTCCACGGCTTCAGTCATTACTACCAAAAGTTAGTCAATCTTCATGTTCTTAACTATAATCAATGAATATGTATAGGTCCCACAGAAAACAAATTTTCCAAAGATTATAATTTTCATAGTTAATCGATACTACCCTAGAGGGTCGATAAGTTGTTTATCCACCCGCAAAAACGGAATCTATTCTTGCCTCGTGTGTGGTGCACATGACACTTGCTTTAAAGGTTACCCATGTCAAGCGGTCTTATGACTCTTATCCAAGTTCAGAGTTCATTGAGGTCGATCCCAGTGGTAGATACGGCCGGGTTAGTGTCTTCATGGATGCTTATTCGATTGTTTAATTCTCACTTGGTTTATTTCTGCTTCTCCCAATTTATCCAAGTTCTTGTTATTCTCTGCTCTCTGAATCTTATTATCCACGAATTCCCAAATTGTTTATCATATCCTTATTTGGTGCTCTGCTGTTTATACTTGTTTTTCTTATTGGGTTTCTTTCTGGGAATCTGTTTTGATGGTTTTGCAGTATGGAGAGGTGTTGAGAAAGGGCGCATTCAAAACGGTGTATGTATCGGTATACTATTCTTCTTTTCCAATTAATTCTTGATGGTTATGAGCCCTTACACAAGTAGTTAATAATAGTACGTCGATAGATTAACACTACCATTGCAGTATTGCTACTCTCTTTTTTTCTGTCTTTCCATGATTTGCCGCCTTTTCAGATATAGAGCGTTTGATGAATTGGAAGGAATTGAAGTGGCTTGGAACCAAGTTAGAGTGGCTGACCTTTTACGCCACCCTGAAGATTTAGAGCGTCTGTACTCCGAAGTCCACTTGCTCAAGACTCTCAAGCACAAGAACATTATCAAGTTTTACACCTCGTGGGTCGACACCAAACACGAAAACATCAACTTCATCACCGAGATTTTCACATCCGGAACATTACGCCAGTGGGTTTTCTTTTCTGTCTATAATCACCTTTTCTTCTACTTGATTTCTTCTTCTGAGCTTCAATGTCGTATTTTTATAGGTATCGTAAGAAACACAAGAAAGTCGATACGAGAGCGTTGAAGAATTGGTCAAGGCAGATTTTGGAGGGTCTTCTCTATCTTCACAGTCATGACCCACCGGTCATCCATCGAGACTTAAAGCGCGATAATATTTTTATTAATGGCCACCATGGCGAAGTTAAAATAGGTGACCTTGGATTGGCTGCTATCCTTTACAAGGCTCGTTCTGCTCATACTGTTATTGGTGAGCACCAACTAGTTCCTTGGAACGAAGTGGTAGAAAGCAGAGCTTTACGAAAAAGCAGATAAATGACATTCCTGTGTGTAGGGACCCCGGAGTTCATGGCACCAGAGCTTTACGAGGAAGAATACAATGAACTTGTGCCTTTGGCATGTGCTTATTGGAGTTGGTGACGTTTGAGTATCCCTACGTTGAATGCGCCAATGCAGCTCAAATTTACAAGAAAGTGACATCAGTAAGCCGAACTACATTCCTAGCCTATTTTCTTTTCTTGCAATTGCTGCTCCTTTGGGTTGTGTTTATCTGCCTTGCATACTCACTCTCAGAATGTTTTCTATCCATGCCTGTTTCTCTTGAAACTCTTGAATGGTCATATGAAGCTATAAAAATTTAATCCCCCCCCACCCTCCCCAAACACTAATAAAATTAACCTCAAATATATTAATCGTCATGTTTCTATATGCATAAAATGAAACAATTTCTGTTTATGATGAAGCCATCCAGACTGCGTATATCGTTTGGATATCACATAGATGAAAATCCAGACTGTCAAATGACAGACTTCATTTGCCAGTTCTCATGTGGATATTCTTTTACATGTATGAAATATGTTTCCTGATTTCCTCCAGTCCTGGTCACTCCTTTGGATTGGCCACATTCTCAAAAGTTTATTGTTTATAGCAAGTGGCTAGATAATCATCCGTGATCTTTACTGCTGGATTGTGTCTGGTTCTCTTAGGGAATCAAGCCTGCATCGTTAGCAAAGGTGAAGGATCCTGGACTAAGAGCATTTATAGAAAAATGTATTGCAAATGTATCTGAGAGGCTGTCTGCCAGAGAGCTATTGATGGATCCTTTTCCCCAATCAAATGGAGAGAATGAAAGCATGGGCTGTGTCTTTACGAGACAGTCCCAGTCATTCAGGTAAAAATTTCAGGGCACCTTTACATTTAAAGGAGCCTGACTTCCAATCTCACCTGTTTCTGTTTAGAGAACTCAAGGCCTTTTTACCCACATTTTACCATAGCAAATGCAGATGATGTTGCGATTGGTACTCCAATTTATATGGATAGTGCCCCTGAGGTGAGTCGAGACTTCATGGTGGAAGGTCGAAGGAAAGATGTTAAAAAAACATTACACATTGGAGATTCCACTGGTTGTCCAGCTTTCTTTTTGTTTCCCTAGCTCAATTTTACTTTTTTTCCCCCCTTCTCAACTCAATAAGATTTTTGTTAACATGCTACTGATAAGTTTTCCATTGGATAAGCAGGTCAAATCCGCAATATCCACTTCCATTTGATATTGAGGCCAATAAGCAGGAGGATGAAACCATGGATGATGAGATAATGAGGGGAAAAAAATACATTGCTATGCCTGACAATTTAGATG